TAATGAAGCAATGTGGCAACATGAACATCTTTCGAGATCATTGCGATTAGAGACGCAAATGACAGCCTTCAGAGATTGCTTGATGGTGTGTGAGCTGGAGGATTTGGGTTTTTCCGGGGTTCCGTTTACATACAATAACGGCCAACATGGTAATCGCAATGTACAGGTCCGGCTTGATCGTGCTTGTGCAGACGAAGGGTGGAGAGAGTTGTTTCCAGCGGCAAAAGTCTCCCACCTAGCTACTTCTTGTTCGGATCATGCACCGGTGCTAGTGCAATTGCAGGAGGCACCGGATCGCCGGACCAAGTGTAAAAGCCCACGTTACGAGATTATGTGGGAAAGACACCCAGTCTTCTTAGAGGTCATAAACAAGGCTTGGGAGTGCAATAAACCGGTCGAAGGGCAGCCCTCGATAGCGACTTCCCTGGCTGGGTTGATGAAGGATCTAAAGAGTTAGAGCAAAGATAACTTTGGTAATGTTCTAAAAGAGATCGAGACCCTCCGGTCGCAACTATCTAAATTGCAAATTGGAGGGGCGGATGCCTCTCAGGTCCGGCGCAAAATAAACCAGTTGGATGAACTCTTATATAGAGAGGAGATGATGTGGCTCCAGAGGTCACGCATTACTTGGCTAAAGGAAGGAGAGAGGAACACGAGCTACTTGCATAGGAGAGCAGTCTGGCGTGCTCGCCGGAATCATGTTCAGCGCCTTCTAAAGGCCGATGGCTCCTGGTGCTCTTCTCCGACAGACATGGGAAGGATGGCAACGTCGTACTTTAAGGAAGTGTACACCAAAGATTCCACCCTTGAGTCCAGGGAGGTTCTTGAGTGCATTACAACTAAAGTCACAGACGAGATGAATGAATCTTTGTGCAAACCATACTCTGAGCAGGAAATATCGGATGCTTTGTTTCAAATCGGCCCCTTGAAGGCCCCAGGCACGGACGGTTTTTCGGCCCGCTTCTATCAGCGCAATTGGGCGGTGTTTAAGGAACAAGTTGTTGCAGCAATCTAGGAGTTCTTTCAGACGGGTATCATGCCAGTTGGGATCAACGACACGGCCATAGTTTTGATCCCCAAAGCTCCACACCCCAAAGAACTAAAGGACTTTCGGCCCATCAGTTTATGCAACGTAGTTTACAAGATCATGTCGAAGTGTATGGTAAACAGGTTACGGCCTCTACTCACGGAGTTAATATCTGAAAACCAAAGCGCCTTCATCCCCGGAAAGTTGATTACAGATAATTCTATAATAGCTTTCGAGTGTATCCATCATATTCAAAATTTGGCGGCAAACTCGGATGCTTTCTGTGCTTATAAACTTGATCTATCCAAGGCGTGTGATCGTGTGGATTGGGTGTTCCTGGAAAAGGCCCTCCTCAAGTGGGGATTCTCTCAATACTGGGTGGATCGTGTTATGGCATGTGTATCTTCAGTAAAGTACTCGGTGAAATTCAATGGCAAGTTAACAGAATCATTCAGTCCATCAAGGGGGCTGCGGCAAGGTGACCCCCTTTCCCCCTTCTTATTTCTCTTTGTCGCGGATGCCCTGTCATCCCTGTTCAATAGGTCAATGGCCGAGGAAGGTTTGAGGGGAATCAAAGTCTGTAGGGATGCTCCTGTTATATCCCATCTCTTATTTGCGGATGACTCTCTACTATTCTTTCAAGCATCACAGCAGCAAGCTTTGTTAGTGAAGGGTTTGTTGAACACTTATGCGGAGGCCACGGGACAACTAATTAATCCATCAAAGTGCTCCATTCTCTTTTCTGATCATTGCACACCGGTTGTCATTGCGGAAGTAAAAAGTATTATGGATATCACACAGGAGACGTTTGAACCTAAATATCTGGGCTTACCAGTACCGGAAGGAAGAATGCATAAAGGAAAGTTTGAAACGGTCCAGGAGAGGCTCAGGAAGAGACTGGTGGACTGGGGAGAACAGTACATGTCTACTGGGAACAAGGAGATACTCATCAAGTCAGTAGCCCAAGCCATACCGACCTATGTGATGAGTGTGTTTAAACTCCCTGCATCGGTATGTGACGAGCTAACTCGTATGATACGTCAATACTGGTGGGGGTGGAGAAAGGGAAAAGGAAAATGGCATGGCTCAGTTGGGATAAGATGAAATTACCAAAAGCTATGGGCGGCATGGGATTTAAGGACATGCGTGCCTTCAACCAGGCACTCCTTGCCAAGCAGGCGTGGCGGCTAATTGATACACCTAACAGCCTGTGTGCTAGATTGTTGAAGGCTAAATACTACACTTCAGGTAATATACTTGATATTGTATTTTCAGGCAATGGATCGGCGGTATGGAAGGGCATAGTACACGGGCTGGAGCTGCTCAAAAAGGGTATAATATGGCGGGTGGGGAGTGGAACCCTCATCAGAACCTGGAGAGACCCCTGGATACCACGTCCTTACTCTTACCGGCCTATAACTCCCAAGCGTAATTGCCGGTTTAATAGAGTTGCTGATTTTTTAGATGAAAATGGCGCCTGGAGGCTGGACAGATTGAGAGAGCATTTTTGGCCGATGGATATACAGCATATTTTGAGGATACGCACATCTCCAAGGCAGCGTGCTGATTTTGTCGCATGGGCACCAGAAAAGAGCGGGATTTTTACAGTGAGAAGTGCCTACACCCTCGCAACATGTGATCATGTCGCTGGTGTTAGCGGCGGGGCTTCCAGTGCGGCCCCGGGTGGGCGACGTAGCTTGTGGAACTGTGTCTGGAAGTCCTCGGTCCCTCAAAAAATGAAGATTACAATGTGGAAAGCTGCTACTGGAGCCCTTCCAACGCAGAGTTGCAAGATGCTCAGGCATCTGGCGACCAGATCAACATGCCCAGTATGTGGGCGAGAGGAGGAAGGTTCATACCATGCCTTGGTGGCGTGCTCTCATGCTAGAATGGTGTGGACCAGTATGAGGGAGAGATGGCCTCTCCCAGATGACAAGTTGCTGGTGGATAATGGCAAGGAGTGGATCCTACATCTGTTATCAAGTTGTTCTGATGATGTTCGTGACATGATTATTATGTTATGTTGGCGTATCTGGCAGCTAAGGAATGACCTCACTCATGGCATGGAAACCCCTCCAGTTCATGTGACGGTCGATTTTTTGGATAGCTACTACAGATCGGTGTGCCTGGCAGGCCGGTATACTACAGAGGAAATTCTCAAGGGGAAGATGCTATCTTCGGCTCTCCCAAGCAAGGCAGTGAAGACGGCGCCAGCAACAGCGCCGTGGCCCAAACCACCACAAGGCCGGGTAGCACTCTCGGTTGATGGTTCTTTTAGTGGTACCGACGGATCAGCGGCAGCAGGTATGGTATTATGTGATCACAATGGTCATATTATCTTCTCGGCGTACCGCGTGATCTTCTATTGCAATGACCCTTTGGAAGCTGAACTACATGCGATCATGCAAGGGATGGCATTGGCTATCCAACATTCCTCGCTCCGGTTATTGTACAGTCGGACTCATCGGAGGCGCTCTCGTCTTTACGGAATCAGGGTCTTGAGCGCTCTGCTTATGGTCATATAGTTAGAGAGATCAAAGAGTTGTTAGTCAGTAGGGAGTTTTATCCTCAAAGAATTCACCGTAGCCAAAACAGTGTTGCAGATCGTTTGGCCAATTATAGCCGCACCGAGAGCACAACTGCGGTGTGGTTGACCTCAGCTCCATCATGTATCGAGGACCTATGGCCTCTGGATTGTAACACTTCTTCTGAGTAATAAAGCTCCTTTACTTCGCAAAAAAAAATAAGTAGCCGTAACAGAATTACGACGGTAAAGCAGCCTGTAGTCCTAAAAACTGAATCAGTTTAAACTAAAACGGTAACTGAAGGGGAGGTCCATCCGAGCCGTCCAATTCCATTTGTGAGCCATTAGTCGATCTGCGTCGTCCATTAGCTGAATCGCTGTCTTCAATAATTCGACAGTGGCTTCAAGCTTCGGTGTCTCCTTGGTTTGGGTCGTGACATGTTAGGCATGCCACACTTTCTTCGCCTAGTGCTTGTTTCTTTGCCTCATTTATGGCTTGCCACAATTTTTTAGCACCCAACCCCACATGTCATACACAGGTTTTTGTTGTCAAGTCTTGCCAAAAGCGTGGCTAACAATTTACTCGCCGCAAATGTTGTGGCTTGCCACACGTTTGGCAAAAGGAAAGTGTGGCATACACGTAGGCTTCAATCAAACAGGCCCACGTTTAGCCACTCCTGTAGAACGTACCTACATCCACACGCTTGCTGCCCCCTAGCATAGGTTTCGGACGCGCGGAAAGGGAAACACTGCAGGCGGGACGGGTAGCAAGGCGAAAAAATTGAAAGCGAAAGCGCGCGCCCCCACCCGAAACGTCTCTGCCACTGCCACTGCCCGCCCCACCCAAACGGAGAGGCTCCTGCGAATCTTGCGCCGCAGCCTCCAGCCCTCCATACATCTCGCTGAAAGCAGGCATATCCACGTGCCGACGGCCGACGGACACCGCCGGCATCACCATGGACGGGCTAGTAGTTAGCCTACTGTGCTCTGTCTGTGTCTTACGATTCCATTCATCTCCCTGCACCATGCCGATGACCATCATCCATCTCTTCAAGCCCACCGTTCTTGCTTCTCTTACAGTAAGTCAGAAATCTCACATACTACATTTTATAGTGGTAACCTTTCCTGAAAATCTAGATAGCTACAATTTCAGATCTCAAACCTCCTTCCGTATCCCTGAATAATCTTTGGCACCAGATTTGGCAAATGAAACACGGTAGTTTTGACAAACATCCAACGGATATTGCTGCAACAATAAAAAAGACTCAAATTACAAAGGTTACTGCTACTAGAAGTACAACTGATCCCCATGGATATTACTCTTCCTCGACACAAGAGCCCATCACCGCCCAAGACACGGTCAAGAAGCTCTTGACCGACAAGACCGAACAGAGAATTAGGCTACTGAATACTACCCGCCAGGCCATCTAGGTCCGGTCATGCCGGGCTCTACTTCTTGGCCTTCTTGGCCGCGGGCTTCTTGGCGGGGGCCGCCTTCTTCACCGGCGTCGCGCGCTTGGTGGGCGGCTTCCGGGCGGCGGCGGGCTTCTTGGGGGTCGCGGCGGCCGGCGCCTTCTTGGCGGCAGCCTTGGCCTTGGGCTTGGCGGCCGCCTTAGGCTTGGCTGCTGCCTTGGGCTTCGCGACGGCCTTGGCCTTGGCTGGGGCCTTGGCCTTGGGCTTCGCGGCGGCCTTCTTGGCCGGGGACTTGGCGGCAGTCTTCTTGGCTGGCGCCTTGGCCTTGGGCTTGGCGGCCGGCTTCTTCTTGGTGGCCGTCTTGGGCTTGACGGCGGCGGGGGCCTTGGCCAGCTTGTAGGAGCCCTTGACCTTGGTCAGCTTGCCAGCGGCGACGAGCTTCTTGATCTGGGTGAGCAGGATCTTGCGGAAGTTGGCTGGGAGGTGCGCCTTGTGCTTGTCCTCGATGAACTTGCCGATCGCGATGGTGCTCGACCCGCTCCTCTCCTTCAGGGCGGCGATCGCCTCCGACACCATCTGAGCACGCACGAACGAACCAAACTAAAAGTCAGATCAGGGGAAACACGGACGAACAGACAGAAGGAGGAACGACGGCGAAGGGCTCGGGGGGCTTACCTCGGCGTAGGACGGGTGGGCCGGGGTGACGCGGGGCTTCTTCGGGCCAGTGGACTTCTTGGCCTTGGCCGCCTTGGGCGCCTTGGCCGGCTTCGCCGCCGGCGTGTCAACGGCGGCGTCGGCGGCTACCTCCACCTGAGGCACCGGGATGTCAGCAGCAGCCACTTCAGTCGACATTGCAGCTAGGAATCGAGGGGAGATGCGAGCTCTGGTGTGTTTTTCGCCGGAGGTGAGAGAGATGCGTGTGAGCTGGGTGAGGAGGTCAGGGCGGAGGAGACGGTGGTTATATAGTGGGAGACGTCGGGGAGACGGGGAAGGCCGAATGCCGCGCGCTGATTGGTCGAGGGGGCGTTGCCGCGGATCGCCCCTCCTAGCGCCCCGCATCAAACGAGCGACGTCCGATCTGTCTCCATCCGACGGTCACCCACGCGCCGCATCCGATGCCGCGGATTGCCGCCCCCCTGGCTGGCCTCCCCGGCTCAGGAACCAGCCTCCAGACTTCCAGAGTGTGCTTCTCCTCTCGATTCCCGATCGAATATCTCTCGATCGGATCCACCGATTCGAGTGAAAAAAATTGCATTGTGTAGGTACGGATAATGTCTTTGTAACGGGAGCGAGCTTGTGTGATTTGGTTGTGTATTCCGGGAGAAAAGCGCTGGTGAATCGGGACTGGTCAGGATGGTGCCTTGGTGTGAGTTTGGTGGAGATTTCCGGCCGCCGGCACGGGGTGCGCCGGCGAACAGTGGGGTTTTCCGGCGTGGTGTTGTAGCAGGATAACGTAGCAACACGTACGTACAAGAAACAGGCTGATCCGACATGGTTTCGATAGGCTACGAGGCAATGGAACGCGACGCAAGTTGCACAACTTTTGTAGCACCCTTTGCTGGTGGTGTGTGAGTTCAGCCCGGCTTTGCTACCTGCACCGGCGCGGTGGCCGGCCGGCTCGCCGGAGAACCGCCGTACTCCGGCAGGCGTGGACATGAGGAAGACTTCCCAGCTGCTGCATTTGCGATGTCACGCTTTAGCCCGGATTAATTTGCACCGGAGTGATCAGTGTTTGTTCCTGTGGTTGGGGAAAGTCTACCAGGTGATACAAGTTGGCTTTGTTCTACATGTGGGATCAAAAATTGTTCATAACTTCGAATGATTTCTCGATGCAAGACGCAAATTTGTGTCTAGTCTTCCCTGGAACGACAAACTGGGATTGAAAATTTTGAAAGTTGTGGCCACAGCTGTGATCAAGAATTTTGTCCAGGAAGAGATCGGAGTGGGGGTGGGTGTATAGTGCTCTCGGCCAAACACGATGATGGATGGATCGATCGAGCTGATCACAGCAACATCCCGACGCATATGAATCCATCAAGTTTCAAAATGCAAACGACGAGCCAGTTGAAGTATGCCAAGAAGACGAGAGGATGCAAATTGTTTATTTCGTACCACACTGACTGGTACTATCCGATATAGTTGCATGGTCTCGGCTCATGGTGATCCTTCCTGGGTGGCCCGCGTAACACACGCAAGCTCAAGAACCTGGTTGATGGAGATCGATCTTAAACATTCAACCTTGATGAATCCTAAGCTGCGGCATCAGACCAGGAACAAGATCGGTCATGAGCGTACACAAACAATAGGATGATAGATGGTGAGTTTTTGGCACGGCTGCAGATACAGGTGTGCTATCGGCTCAGGCATACATGTGTGAGCTTATTAAGCATCGCCTTGGATTGGTTTCACTCCATTGATTCATGGAATTGGAGTTAACATAAACATCTAGCGTTACGAAAAATGATTTAGCCATGAAAGTGTAATTCTTCCACTTGCTGCGCCGGTTACAACGTGACCCGGAAGTTGACCAACCCACCTAATTTGACATCACTTTCCACCTTGTAGTATGTATTACACCATCCCATCTCTTCTAGGAGTGGTATATAGGACCTAAAAAGATGCATTTGTCACGGAGCAAACAGCTTGCCATTCGTAGCAGCAGCCAGCACATCATATGATTACAGCACGTCCACCGGTTGCAAATGTTAGCTTGATGATGACGCGTGCGTGCATGTACACCGAGTGGCCGTTAACTTGTCTGTCACCGAGAGGGACGAGACTTGCGCCGGTGAAAGCGTGCCCTTTTGTGTTGTGCCGTCCAGCACCTCTGTTTCTGTTTTGTGCCGGAACTACACGGGACAGGATCATAGGAACGTCGCCGGAGATCGATCGAGCGGCTGGAAGCAAAAGTCGCTGGCGCCGCGTCGTCATGCTGCTACTGCATATGTACCTTGATCGCATGCCCGTCCATAGTTTCAAAAAACCATCACATTGCGCTACGGCAACCTTGGTGTGTTTTTTCTCAGGAAATACTAGTGAACGAATTTGGTCGATTTAAACACGTTCATGACAGCCAGAGCCCTCTAGTTAGGGCCATGTGGGACGGGGGAGACGGCGTGACCAAACGGCCGTTAATCGGTGTGTCGGCAGCGATGAAAACACGTTTTCTGACAGCCCGGGCCTGCTAATCAGCTCCACGTCGGACGGGGAAGATGGTCAACGCTCTTTCTTTATTTCTCTAGCGCCCTCGCTCTCTCTTTCCTTCTCTCCTCTCTCACAACCCCTGCCGCTGCCGGCCCCGCGACTGCTCGCTACCGCTCTGCAATGTCATCATGGAGCAACGGTCACGGATATGTGCCCGTACATGCGCGATCTCTGTGCTAGTAAGCCTTTACTAGACTAGCTCGTTGATCAAAGATGATTAAAGTTTCCTAACCATAAACACGAGTAGTCACTTGATAAACGGGATCACATCATTACGAGAATGATGTGATGGACAAGACCCATCCGTGCATAGCATATGATCGTTCAGTTTATTCCTACCGATTTCTTAATGTCAAATACATATTCCGTTGACCATGAGATCATGCAACTTCTGGATACCGAAGGAATACCTTGTGTGCTATCAAACGTCACAACGTAATTGGATGATCATAAAGATGATCCACATGTATCTCCGAAGGTGTCTGTTGAGTTGGCATGAATCAAGATTGAGATTTATCACTCCGTATATCGGAGAGGTATATCTGGACCCTCTCGGTAATACAACATCACAAGAAGCTTGCAAGCAAATTAACTAAGGAGTTAGTTACAAGATGATCTATTACGGAACGAGTAAAGAGACTTGCCAGTAACGATATTGAGGGCCAGTTCTTTTGGGTAATTCTCCCAGAATTGACCCCCTCCCCAGCTTCTCCCAGAATTGCCACTTGATATTTTTTTACAATTCCTAGCTAATTAGACCTTAACTAGCTAGGAATTGTAAAAAAAGATGAAGTGACAATACTGGGGGAAGCTGGGGAGGGGGTCAATTCTCGGAGAATTGCCCAAAAGAACTGGCCCTGAATTAGGTATGAAGATACCGACAATTGAATCTCGGGCAAGTAACATACCGACAGACAAAGGGAATTACGTATGTTGTCATAAAGGTTCTACCGATAAAGATCTTCGTAAAATATGTACGAATCAATATGGGTATCCAGGTCCCGCTATTGGTTATTGATCGGAAAGGCGTCTCGGTCATGTCTACATCATTCACGAACCCGTAGGGTCTGCACACTTAACGTTTGTTGACGATATAGTATTATATGAGTTATGTGAGTTGGTGACTGAATGTTGTTCGGAGTCCCGGATGAGATCGCAGACATGACGAGGAACTCGGGAATGGCAGGAGGTAAATATTGACATATAGGACGATGCTATTTGGTCATCGAAAGGCTTCGGATTGAATCGGGTAGTCATCGGATCACCGGAAGGGGTTCCGGGAGGCCCCAGGAGTTTAATGGGCCAAACAGGCCAACGAGGGAGTGCACACCAGCCCTAGGGAAGGAAAGGGAGAGGGCTAGCCCCTCTTGCCTTTTCTCCCACATGAGAAAAAGGGAAGGGGGGCGCCACCCCCTCCTACCTTCTCCTAGTCGCCAGAAAAGGAAGGGGGGCGCGCCATAGGTCAGGCGCCCAAGGGGGTCGGCGGCCACCCTTGGGGCGCACCCTAGCTGCCCCTCCTCCCCCACCTATATATATGAGAGGGAGGGGCGCCACACAAGACCACGACAATCCACAAGCCGTGTGCGGCGCCCCTCTCCCCGGTTCCATCATCCGTCTAGTTTTCTGAAGTGCACGGCGAAGCCCTGCGGAACAAGTTCACCACCACCTTCATCACGTCGTCGTGCTGCCGGAACTCATCTACTACTTCGCCGTCTTGCTGGACCGAGAAGGCGGGGACATCATCGAGCTGAACGTGTGCTGAATGCGGAGGTGTCATGCGTTCGGTACTTGATCGGTTGGATCGTGAAGGTGTACGACTACATCAACCGTGTTGATAAACGCTTCCGCTAAACGGTCTACAAGGGTACGTAGGCATATTCTCCCCTCTCGTAGCTATGCATCTCCATGGATAGATCTTGTATGTGCGTATAATTTTTTTTGTTTTCCATGCAATGTTCCCCAACACATGATAGCACAAGACTTGATTTCTTTGGCATTGATATGGATGTCCCTTTGTACTGCCTCCTCCACAATGCTAAGCCTATGATCTGTGTGTCTTTTGAAGGGATCCAAAATGGGAGGAAATTTTATGGGTGTGTTCTGAGTGTGGGTATTTCCTCTATTTTAAATCCTATGTGTATTGTAATTGTAGTGTTGAAAGTTGTGGAAACGGATTCAGGGTTGAGTGTTCATTAGGAATATTGTTTGAAACAATTTATCTCTGTTGAAATTAGCTCACTGTTGAGTTTGTTTGAAATAATTGCTCTGCGATGAAATTAGATCACTGTCAAGGAATGTTCCAAATGGAAACTAATTAGGTAGATGCTGTTGTGCAAAGTAATGAAGTCATGGTCGCTATGTAAGTAATTAGCATATTATTCCGTGAATGAGCTATTGGTCAATGTTTAATCTAGTTAGTTACGTAGCGAGCAAAATGATGAGTTAGTGAGCACTAGTTAGTTAGTGCTAAGTTTGCATGATAGTTTAGCTCTTAAAGTTATTGTCATGCAACTCAACTTATTACATAGATATTTAATGTGGTGCTAGTAATATAAATGATCACCACTAAGCTTGCTTAAAGATGGAAGCTTTATTACATGGATATTTAATAGTTCATTGTGTTAAATTTCTATTTCTATTTGCACGGA